AACTGACCAAGACAATTATAAATTTGACTTTTGGCCCCTCAAATAAACTTTTGTTGTTGACTGTTAGTTTTCTAGCATGCCTAATTGACAGCAACCCACAGACTTACACAAACGTCTAATTGCAGCAACAATTATCAGAATAAGTTCCAGATTTTAAAAAATGCTCTCATTTTCTTTAGTTAAAGCTTTAGCGGTGCTATGAAAATGCAAAGCTCCATCAGTAATTATTTACACAATTCTCATTATATTGAGTGAACACACACACACACACACTGGGTTGATTGATGCAGCAGGAACAGATTGTCTCGTTAATGAGCGTGTATTAAAGTGTAATGAAGGAAGTGTGTATGATTGCAGCCAAATGTTGATGGATGAAGGCGCGGATGGGCATTCATTAACGATATGATCTCATGATGCTGGAGAAAAAAGTATTTACTGTCATTTCCAGCATACAGCCTGAAGCCAGCGGTGCTTCGGTGTGATCAGTTGTCATTTCTGCGATTTAGCTTAAACATCTTAAACACGAGTTCTTGTTATGAAACATCAGGACAATGAAAAGTTAAACGGCTACCAGTCACCTTGTACTTCAGCTCTGCTGCGGTGGACTTACCTGAGGCTCACTAGCAGAGAGAAAGTGTTGCATAACTGCTACTGAAAACCTGTGACTTCTCCTCTTTGTGCAGATGGAGTCAGCTGGAACGGTCCTGACCACCAACTGGGGAGATGTAGCCAACAAGAAAGTGGAAGTGAAACCGCCCGATGATTCAGAGTATAAGAAGTTCTGAGCATCCCCTACTTCTCCATCACTCCCCCTCCCCCACCTCAGTTCATCATCTTTCTTGACATCTGTCCACCTGAGCTACAGCGGGATTCGTCGTCGCCGCCCTGCAGCCTGCATGGCTGGCCACTGCTTCGCCTCTTCTTCGTGTTTGTCACTAAGAGCCAAGCATTCCCACCATCACCCAAGCAAACTACATATGGCCTCTTCTCTGCGATATATGTTCGGTTAATTAAAATGATCTGTTGAAAGGATCGATCAACATTACCTGATTTCTTTTAAAGGCCAATGAACTCAAAAGGGAACTGAGATCGGGCTTAAAATTGACACGCTTCACTTCAACTTCCCGCCGCCCCTCCTAATCACTCACAGCCTTTATATTTGGGAGCCTTCTATGACTTTGCAATATTAGTACTTGTATAAAAAAGTTGCTAAAACATATGTGAACACTACCTTTAAACCAACTGATTGTGTTTCACAGATCATGCTTTTTTTGTTTTCCTCCTCTTTTTTGCACTCTGTAAAAACAACTTATCTGGAAAGTGTGCGACATGTCTGGCTCGCCACCGGTCTCTCTCTCTCTGTGGGATTCAAGCTTCGGTGTAAATAAAAGATTTGGCTCACAAACTTTGCCCCGTGTTTTATGGTTTCTTGTCTCCCGGAAACTGTTTTCGAGCAGCTCGGAAAAGTCTCGCTCAAACACAAAAACGGCAATACATTACAACAGGGATCTGTGCTCTGTGATTATGTGCTGGGAGCGATGAAATGTGGTATTACTGATATGAGCTCAGGCAGTTGAGATACGGTTGACAGCTCGAGGATATGGTTTATGTATTGCGGGTTTCGATTGGTATCGAGTGGAGGAGCTCGGAGCTGCAGGTGAGGATGCGGCCCTGAGGTGGAGCGGTGATTTACAGAGGGGAGATGTGAGGGAAGCGGGCGCCTCCCCTGTCCTCCTATCGCATATATGCGGCAGCCGAAACTGTGAGGGGGCGTCCTGCCGAGGCAAGAGAGCATTAATATGGATCAGCCTCCTAACCACATCATCAAGCCTCTCACACTGAGTTAAGTGTTAAATTCATCACACATCGTTTCATCTCTCGTGACGATCAAACGCCCATTTGTGACTCTGGATGGAACTCTTAGCTTTGTAACACTTTTTTACACACACACACTAACACACTCCTTCGCTATCCCTGACACACACACAAATACACCGCCCCCATCCTTACCCCCTACCCCCGCCCGAGGCAGCTCCGTGACATCAAAAGGAGCTAAGCGCTTTGCATCGTGGGTAAGATCTGGGAGCGTGACGGCTACAGAGTCTTTAGTCTCATTAAAGAGTTCTAGAGCTGCAACTCTCACATTAAAGAACTCTGGAAACTTCTTTCTGCTCATCCCTTTGGAGCAGCTGCCAGACGTGACACTTCTCAAAACTGTTTTTGAGCGGAAAAGAGAAGAGAGGGTGATCCCGAGTAAACTCGCCGATGTGAACGCCGTGTATTTACAAACGGGCTACAAAGTCATTTGGTCAATTAGAGAAGGAAGAGAGGAGGACGCCTTTAATGTTTACTTAAAAAAAAAAAAGTTTATTCAGTGATATTGCACTTTGAGATCACTTCCTCAATGCTTTACATGGAGATGAAAGTTTCTGAGACTATGCGTGCAGTACATTGTTTTAATGAGAGCTTCTCATGAAGGCGAAAGAGAGATAAAGGGCTGGAAAACATGCATTTAAGATGCAAGTTAAGACTGCCATTATTGGCTGAAGGCACATTTATTTACAGAAAGCAAAAAATGAATGAAAAAGGCTGCTTATCAGCTCTAAAAATACAAGCTCACCTTGCTTTTCCTAAATGCGGGTAGTTTTACATGCTTCCTTTTTATGTGGTGTAGAGCTGCACATCATAAGCTGTGTGATCTTGATGGAAATCAAGAGTATGGTGTGTGTGTGTGTGTGAGATCATGACTGCCCTAGATTCTTTACCATGCATTGATAATGTGTGGTCACAGCAACCTGCTGAGGATGAGAAGCCACCATCTTCCTTTTCTAAACTTTATCCTTCTCCTATCTCTCCTCCCCGATCCCTCCTGCACTCTACCATCTCTCACGTGGGCGGGGAGGCTCACACCAGACCCAGGATGCGTGCCACCCACCAGTTGCAGGGCATGATAACTCGACAGGCCACCCTGCAGCCCCTGTAGTGGTAGGGCCACGGGTGGAAGCCTTGGAGAGGCTCGCAGATCCTCTGACAGTGGGTGTAGCCGCGGCGGCACTCTCTGCAGCACACGCCCTCGTGGTCCAGCCTGGGGTCGATGTTCATGTCCTGCTCGCCCTCGAGGCCTCTCTGAGAGGAGGGAGAAGAGAGGAGAGCGGTCAGAGTGAGGCGTTCCTCGGCAGGGCAGCAAAAGCTCGTTTCAAACCAATTAAAAATGGATTTCCGACAGGCTGTGATAGGGGAGGAGGGGATGTTGTCAGATGTGGGTTTTTGTTGTCAAATATTTTCTTTTTTCAGAAACGGCGCTTGCTGTTTACCCCCTTCTGTGGTTGTCAGGAGTGGGTTTGGTGGGGTTGGGGTGGAGGATTAGGGAAAAAAGAAAGTGGGGCCTGTAATGAAGGGGTGAGGATGCATGTGTGTATGCATGGGAGTCTGCGTGTGCTTAGCAGGGGCAAAGGGGCTGCTGAAGAGGAGGAGGTGGTGGGATGTTGTGGAATTATTCATACAGCCTCAATGCTGAAAGGAATGCTTTGGACAGCCACACACAGAAAACCGCACGCACAGACTACACGCCCACGCATACACTCAGATTTGCAGTGACAATCCGGGCCCCTCCACCGTGACCCCGGCATCTGCTGCCGCTCGCACAGCTGTGAGAATCCCTCGCTGGGAAAAGCGTCTCAGGTAGGCCTCGGATCTGATCGGACAGCTGCGACGCCGCGGCCCAACGTAAACGCAAGAGAAGAAGAAAGTCACGTTTGTGTGTGTGACTCACCTGATAGGGGTTCTCAGGGTTGAACTCCGCTTCCACGTCCTCCTCCACCTCCTGACCTGCGGCTCCGGCTGCCTGGCGGCGCTGACGGGGGGCAGCCCTCCTCTTCCTCTGGCCGCCTGCACACATCACACTCTCAGTATCTGACAGCAGACCAAATCTAGGAGCAGAATGGCACTAATGTGGCACACAGCCGTTTCTCAGGCAGCATTTTTAAGTCCGCAGCTGAAGCAGAAGGAAAATTGTGTTTTGAGAACTTTTGACCTCTCAGCACGCTAAGAATTCTACACTCAGCAGCTCAGAAACTTCAAAAGGATTTCTGCCTTTCTGTCTTTATAGCCTGTTTTTCTCTCTCTCTCTCTCTGTAGCTTAAACAGCTGTGATGTTAAATGAGAATGTTTGAGACTGTTTGACCCATATTCTCTTTGTTTTTTGTAAAAACAAGAAAAAATGACTGTTTTCTTGTCTTTTTAAAAAAAAAATCCATACCACTGAAAAATCTGTTTGCTTACTACTCGAGAAGGTGGGACGGAGCCAGAAGATTGGCAGGTCGCCGCACAAGTCCTTGATCTTGTTGCTGAGGAAACCAGAGTCCGAGAGGGGCGTTTCAGCTGCTACCCAGATCAGATCATCGTCAAACTTGGCCGGGATCACTTCATCCTCCTTTTGTGGGTGGGAAAAGCAGATGACACTGATATGCAAGTAAAAATCTTTCAAAACACACACGCACGGCTGCCAAAGGTGTAACTTGTTATGCTTTAAACAGTCCACACTCTCTGCATCCTGCCCAAGTCTAATCTGAATTAATGCTGCGCTGTTAGTGCTTTTATGTGAACATAAAACAGAGTAGTAAAAAGGGAGCCCTTGAGGCTTTAGTGTACACATTTCCCTTTTGCGCTGACGTCTCGCTGTACACACAGTGTCAGAACTCATCAGCTTCTGAAGAGGAGAGACTGGATGTCCTAAATTTGCAGGTTTCTGCAGATAAACTAATGAGGTTTGCAGAGGAGACACTGAATAAACATACATACTCTGTATCCACAGCCTGCAGGTAAGGAGGGGCAGGTGAGGCACGGGTGGGGGTGGGGTGGAGGCGGCTCTGTGGGGATGAATTTGCCCAGAGGCGTTTGTTCCTGAGGGCTGCGCTGCACTAGCCACAGACATGTTTATGGACTGTTATCCTCCAACCTTTTAGAAGTGCTGCTCTGTGTGTGTG